GCGGGCCTGACCTCGATCCTGCCCGTCTTTTCATACTCCTCCAGGTTCAAACTGGTGCTCGGAGGCACAGAAAAGTTGTACGGATTGTCTTTGTTTCGCTGGCGCTCTTTGAAGAGGGTATTTCGAAACCAGTGTTTCACTACCTTCTCCTGAAGCTGAGTTCGTGAGCAGATTTCGGCCAGTTTCTCTTCACCCGGCGAATTGTTGATGTCAAAGTAGGAGCGCAACACACCCAATTGTGTCTCGGTGAGGCGGGTTCGGCCACGCTTTCCAACGGCCCCATTCGACGGCCCCGGGAGGCTGAATCCCGTCGTCAAGGTGTGCGGCTCACTGCGACCTGCCGACCTGTTGACACCGACTGGACCGGGTCGGACGGGCCTCGAGCTCAGAGCCTCAGAGACGGCGCTGGTGAATGCCGTCGAGGAAGCAGCCAGACCGTCCTGTCGAGGCGTCGGGGGACAGACGATTGGAATGTCGGTGTGTCGAGCGAACGAGGCAAGCAGTTGAGGCAACGCAAACAACGAACAGTCGGGCAGAAGAGCAGGAAAGCCGGCCGAGCCGTTGTGACTGGGGCTGGGTGACGCGAGGCCGGCCGAGGGATTGGGAGAACTCCGGAGGAGGAGGAGGTCTGGAGGAGCCGAGACGGTGGGCAATTGTGTGTGCGAAGCGAACTCGTCGGGCAGCCGTCTCAGACCGACGCCAAGCTGGGCCCGATGGTGTCCATCCAGCAGGAGGGATAAATCTTCCCGAGGATTGGCCAGAAACGGCGGTACCGCCATTGTTGCCGGTAGTGATGGCGGTGGAGGCAAAAGACTGGAAGATGTTGAAGAGGAGGAGGAGGAAGACGAAGAGGAAGAGGAGGAGGAGGAGGAGGAGATGAGTTGTCTGGCCACCAGACCGACTAGGCCTGGACAGGAGAGGCTGGCCGGGAGGAGGGGTCGAGTGGTGCTGGGGCTTGAGTGATGCAGGTCCTGATGCAAATCTGCCGTTTGTGGGCAGGTGAAGCAGCGCCGAGGCTGACATTGTGTGCAGACCTGATGGCCGTAGCTGAGGCTAGCGAGAACCTCTTGGATTCTGGCGAGTCGATGCGTCGAGAAGCGCCTGGCTGCGAGTTCCGTCAGCCCCGAGGCTGATTGGCTGTCCTGCGTGAACAACTCGAGCGCCAACAGGCCCAGCTCCAAGAGACGTTCGTCGTTTGACGCGAGTCCTGTCGCCTCGGCGATCTCTTCGGCCAGCTGACCGAGGAACAGCGGCTCCAAGTCGTAGGCCACGATGAAATCGTGCAAATTGGTCGCTTCGCCGGTCTGTCTGGAGCGCCCGAAGAGGCCGGGTTGACTGGCCTGTTGAAGACTCTGAATAAAGGCCAAGGAGCATGGATGTCCGGCGAACTGGAGCCAGGTCAACGAGACCCCGCACCAAGGGCACTTGAGCGGTGCAAGAGGCGGTGGCGTCTGTTTGCTTCTGTCCAGACTGGAGGGCTGTCGGCCTGGCAACTCCATCTCTGCCAACAACGGCTTATCGGCAAAGGTGGCGCTTGGCGCGGAGAAGGGAAGCATTTCAACGTGACGACAGGAAGGATCCTGTCCGAAGGGGACCAACGAGACGGTCGGATCCTGCTTTGTGGCCGGCCGGACTGCAGGAAACCTGAAGGATACGAAAAATGAACAGATTTTTTAGACAAACAGACAATATATGAGTAGAATATATAAAGACCAAGATGTTGTGGCATCTGTTATGGTCGCAGTCTCCTTTCGATTTATACAAGTGGGTTGACCTGGTTGTCGCAACTTGGTCTTGTGGTCAGGGAGACTATGTAGAACGCACCGAGTCTGAAGTCGTCTGGATTCTCAGCATCTGACAGTGGACTTGATACATTCTCAGACGTTTCGCCGGCCTCGTAGTCGGCAGCAACAGTGAGCCTT